CAGGGCCTTGTCCTGTGTTCTATCTGTAACTGAGTCTGTATACATTTTTATTTCTGATCTGTTCGTCTGCCTGAGCACAGAACCTGCACTAGAAGTCACATTTATCCACCTTTAGTCTATAATTTTGGAGGTTTGACTTTTGCTTTTTTTTTTTTTTTTTTAAGGCAAGTTTAGAGTTTACTGAGTATATACTGCTGGGACTAGTGATAATTCTGAAGGATCTTTCTAGGGGTTCTAACATAAAGTTTTTTCTCTCGTGACAGTCAGAAATGTTAAATCCCTTTTGTTGAAGGGGATGTCTTAATACTGTTCTCCCAGTATACCCGCACTCCAGATGTGCTGTTTCCACTCTTCCTGCTGCTAGAGACTGAAATAGTTGTGTGCCACAAAGGGATGCTTGGACTCAGTGGAGACTCTTGGTTTTTATTTTGAGTAGAAGCAAAAAGCAGCTAAGCACTGTGGAAGTGGGTTATGTTTATGGGGCAAGAAGTTCTGTGTTATACAACAAAGTTGATGAAGGAATGTACTTGTTGGGGGGGAGTGAGTTTTTCAACAATGCATTCTTTTTTAAACTACTTGAAATAATTCAGTTTCCTGTTCTCTGTTTCAGAACCATTTTGACACAAGAAGCAATAATATCTGTAAAAGGTGTCAGTCTCAGTAGTTACCTAGAAGGGCTAATGGCAAACACAATTTCTTCCAATGCTAATAAAGTAAGTATGACCCTTGTGTACAGTGTGTGAACACTGGCTAAATGACAACGGGAATAAAAACCTCTTTCACTTTTTGGCTTTGTCAGCAAGCTTAGGAAGGGTCCGCATAGTTCTAATGCCTTCGCTGTAGAGACTGAATGCTCAGCTTGCTGAACTTTCTCTTTTTTTCCCTTGTCTGAATGGAGATAATAAATTATTATTGGCAGAGCTCTGAATCTTCACTGGAAAAACATCTTCACTCGCTTAAGTCTGGTGCTGTCACTATTTTGCTGCCCTCCTGATGACATCTATTAGGTTTTGCTATTGGAAAAGGATATACTTCAAGACAGATCTGAAGTAGTTACGTGGGAGTAATGAAGTGGTGTTTTAGCCGAGTCTGTCCTCTGGGAATCCAAAGTTGTCTTGAGTTCAGCCTCAAGAATGATAAAGCAGTCTGGATGAAAAGCCTTTTGTGGTTCATAATGTGAGCGCTGCTGACAAAAGGAATTTTTTCATTAAATGTAAGGCAGTACGTGTTCTTGCAGTATTCTTGTTACTGAAGTAAAAAATACCACAGAGGCATGTATTTCTGTACTTTAACTATTGTGTCTGTAGTAATTTTCAGTAAGACAAGGTTTAACCTATTTACTTATGTACTAAGATTTATACACTGATAAACTTCTCTTTAACTGTAGGGCCGTGAAGCACTGGAATGGGTAATTCATAGACTGAATGCTGAAATTGAAGAGTTTGCAGCTTCAGCAAGAGGAACCATGAGGAATTCAATGGCAGCAGCAGCATTTGTAGAGAAATGATAGTAAATGTACCTGTATTACTAATGAGGTTTAACAATCTGAAGCTTCTCTCCAAACCTAAATACATGTATCCTTTGTTATTTAAAGGCATACCTGTGTATTAGGCATGTTTCAAATTTAATTTGGAGAAAAGCTGAATTCTTATTAATGAGGCTGATATGCAAAGCCTAGTTAATATATTGATTCAGCTGAACCGACTTTCGGTTACAGATGAAGAAATAATTTTCAAGTATAGTTCCTGTATTTACATGAACACTAACTTATAATATTTTGAGATATGAAATAGCCTTATTTAGTGATGAGGCTGCGTATGGTGGAGGAGACTGGCATGTTAAGTTAACTTCTGTGGAATTTTTGTTATTGTGTGACTTAAGGACTACCTCTTTTGGGACCAAGCCCAAAATTAAGCAGAATGGTTTGTTCCAGCATTGTTCTGTTTGTTAATTTTTGATAGTTGTGTGATGCAACTTGGTTTAATAGAAATTTATTACTTGATGCTTGAAAATCAAAAGAATGTACAAAATATTTTTTTATAATCTTTTTAACTCGTTTGACTGGTTGAGCTAACGTGGTACTCAAACTGGTTTTCTGTCAATATAGACAAAACATACAAACTGTCGCTTATCTACTAAGACCTAAATTCTATTCTGAAATGCAGCATTAATAATCTGGGCGTGCAGTAACTTAAAATTTTATTGTAAACTTCTATAGTAAGTATCTCCATTTCTAAAAGCCCATTGAATAAAAGGGTACAATAAGCATAGAGCCTTAAAACCTTGCAAGCTGCTAGGGCATCTAATAGTAGGTGTTCATTTCAAAATTTCAAAGAACCACTTAAAGGACTAAAAAAACTTTTGTGAAGTTGGATAAAGATATACCTTAACATAAGAGGAAGCGGTATCAAAGAATGTTAATGATACACTCATTAACTTTGATCGTGCTCCAAAAATAACCTGTTAAATCACCTAAATACTGTGTTGTCCTTTAAACGGTGTTCTAAGTTCCAGAAGTTCCTTTACCTTTTGAACTAATTTGCTCACAATATAAGGCTCTTTAAATGACAACCTTGAGAATAAAAAGTTTTCTACACTTTGTGTTTGTTTCTTGGTACTGTCACCAGTCATTAGCTGTGGAAACTTAAAGGTTAGACCTTAACATCCTTCCTTACTTAGTATACCAGTCTGCTGGTAGTCCTGTTGACTTCAGCAGGGGCCATCTGTCCCATGAGGCTCCTTCAGTGTGAAGGAAAAATGGAAAGACACAGCCCTGAATTAGCTGATGCTTGTATTTTGGTGCCAGAGGCTTTTCCTGGAATTTTGATTCTAAGCTTACAAGTAATTTCAAGACTCTCTCTTAGCCTTTAAGAACTCTAATGTCATCTGTCCCAGCATATTTTGTTGCATGCCATTTCTATTCTATCAGAATTGCCTATTGAATAGCATCTGTTACATAGAGAACCAGAGCTTATTTTAAGTGGTAAACACATGGGAACATTCTTCTGTAAGATTTGTGTAGGGGGAAAAAGAACAGGTGTGTGCGTGTGTGTGTGTATATATATAACTTTTAAAAACTTAACTATTCTAAATATTTTTCTAAAAAGGAATGATTTGAGACTACCTTACCAAATTGCAATCGTTGAGGTTTGCCATGCTTTTACAGGACATTATTACAACTGAAATAGAGTTTCAATTTTAAAAGTGTATGTGAAACTTCTGAAAAACTGTACCATCATTTCTGATAAAAATGCAATGCTTGAAACTCATTTTAAAGGTTTGTTTAGCCATTAGCATCACTTGGTATTTTAAAGTAATTTTTCTCTTTTCCTACGTTGTCTGCACTAAGGACTGCATAGTATGAACTCACAGTTTGCCCTTGTGCTGAAAAAAACCTTACTGTTTAATTTTTGCAAGAATTCAACAACTTCTTGAAAGATCATTATTTTCTTTTGTCCATTTTATTTATATGCCTGCATTCTCGTTCTCTCAGAGAGCCTGGCTTTCTGTAGTGCTTTTTAAATAAAATTTTATCTTGAGTTCTGGGCTAGTTCATGAAACTTTCTGATCAGTTTGGTTTTTATAACTACTAGGTTAGTAATTGAAAATGATGGGGGTGAAGATGCAGAAATACTCTGGAATTAGTAGCTCCTTTTATTGAAATGCATATTCTAAAATGCACACTTACAGCTGTTGTGGACTTTTTTGTTTCTTAGTAACTCTGCTTTTCTGCAAATCTGTGTTAGCTAGCAACCGGATTTCACAGTTTGCTAGATCCTGTGGAAAGATTTTCAATCTACTTGGACTGAGATTCGTATGCTACAATTTAGCTGTTAAGGAATGTGTCTTGGTACATGGAATCTAATGCTTACTATTGTTAAGAAGAGAACAAAATGTTTGAGTCCATGTGATCACATAACAGCTTGTCTGTTTAACCCCAGTTCTCACAATAGGAGACTGCACCTAAAGTCACTTTGGTTGATGGAGAGTGGGGGACTGTGTGCAGCAATTACATTTGCTGTCCCATCGCAGAAGGAAGCAGATGCCTGCCCTGTGCTCTGTATGCTTACATGCTCAGGTGGTTTTGTCACTGGTTACTTCAGCAAGTTGTATGTGCATCAGCTTCCCGGTGCGCTGCAGGGCTGTGTCTGGCTGGCAATGCCCTGGGGAGTGTAGGGTGCTACGGGTGAATGCACCAATACTGCAGTGAGTGTGACCTGAGGTAGTGCAGAGAAACTGGGGATTCTGGTGGTCAGGAGGAGGTGGCGAAAAGAAAGGAGCTACAGCTGGGGGGATGAAACTAAAGGACCAGGAAGAAAGAAAGAAAAGATAAAAAAAAAAGGGCAAGGAGGAAGGAAGTGGAAGGGATAGAGGTAGAGGAATGTGATGTGAACAAATAGGTGGATCTTTACCTGCTTCAGCTTAAATGGTTTCATGTTTTACCCTATCTACAGGCTCAGGCTTTTAAAGCCTGAATCGGTAAAACTTCAAACTCACCTATATAACTTTGCTGAGAAATAGAACAGAAGTAAGCAAGCCTTAGATCCAAAACTCAGTGGCCTAGAGAATATTTAAGATGATACTGTTAAATATTTTGTTCTCAATGCTTGCCTTCTGAAGTTTTCAGTAACAAACAACTACGTTTCCTTGCTATTCATTGTCTCAATTATTTTGGATGATTTTTTGATGTTCCTGTGACCCTTAAGGGCTCCCAACACAGCTACTAAGGATTTCTGCCGGGAGGAAAGACATGCGGCAAGTCTCCCAAGCATCATTCTAAAGCAAGTTGCATCTAGAAATGGTATAACAATTAATTTAAAACCAGAAGTTTAAATTACAGTAGCTGGAAGTTGGAGGTCTTGGCAAGACTGATACCCTCTTTTGTTGAGACTGAACACCTGGCATTATCTGCTGGTTCTACTGGAAACACAGTGCTCTTGAATTCTCAGCTATCTGTATGGACACAGCCATATGCCTGTGGAAAGGTGCTTCTGTATGAAAATGCTTACCTGGTTTGTATCTGTAAGTTGAAACAAGGAATGCAGAAATTACTTTTACTCAGGCGTGATATAAGAATTGGCCACACCAGTGATGGGATTTTGGTGTTCACTTAGTAAAGATTTTTTTTTTACTGTAAATTAGAGTCACCTTGTCCTTCACTTCTTGATTTAAACAGACTTTGGATGGCTAAAGCCTGAGAAGTATTTCTTCTTGCCAACAGTGAGTGTCAGCACCTGTTCAGTCATACAGCAATTAACTATAAATGTAAAACCAGTTGTTTGTTTTGGAAAAATACAGAAAAAACTTTAACCATAATTTCCTACAACATTGCTGATCTGTCTGTTGTGGTCTATACTTGCAGTTAAACTGTACAGTCTAGCATATTTCCAATAAATGTCATATACGGTAAAGCTAAGCACCCTTTGACTATTAACTGTAGCCTTTCAAAGCCCCCTGGCACTGACAGAGTCAGTTCAAAAAGGAGAGATCAGCATCCTGTTGAGGTTCACATTTATAGAAGAACTGAAGGGTGCCGAAAAAGAGAGCCTGTGTGAAAGCACTGAGTCATTTGAGAATCCTTCTATTTCTGAAGGTGAAGGCTGCTCTTTCATTTGCACAGAATCTGTTAATTTCTTCCACAAATAACTTGATAGCTTTGTTTTATATGTTGCCATAGAATTTTTCTAAAGGTAAGGTTACATGTTACAACTAAGCTGAACTAATTGTTTACCTTCAATTAAAGGAAACAGTCCTGCGTCTGCCTGCTGCCTTGGTCCTGGCTGTGCTGTCCTACTTCTTCCCTTGCACTGAAGATAGTGGTCTTCACACCCTTTGTGGAGCCAAATCAACTTGTTAAGCCAAAAAAACATGAATGTGAGAAGTGATGCAATCTTTAAGCAGCCAGCAGCAAGGCGAGACACGCTGCAAGAGGAAAAATGGAGAATCTCCTTACTTATAGGAAGCTATGGGGTGGGCTGAAATGGTATTGCCTATACAGTAATTTAATACTGCATCTACTACAAAGAGTACTTGATTCTGTAAACAGTGTATATTATTACAATAGTAAAAATTACAGTTTTGTAAAACAGTAACATTAAGTTAGTCTTTCATCTCAGATGCATGTATCACAAGAGTTCAGCACAAGATGGCTTTTTTACATTTTCTTTTTCTCCAGAAAGGTTTGACAGTCCTTTAATCAAAAAGTTGAAAAACACTGAGCTGAAAAAAAAAAAGTGTATCAGCTAGATAATATGTATATATTGTCCAGCTGAATGTATCAGCTATAAAATAATAAAATTAACAATGTATGTAGTAAGTATTTTCCTAATCATGTACCCAATTCTTTTTACACCAAATTAAATGACATAATTGCCCCTGCTGTGAACTTTGATATTGCTGGAGCCTGTTCAACTTTGCAGACACCCTGGTAAGTAATCTGTTTTATAATATGGATGAGTTAGTGTTAACAGGTTTTTTGGGGACTACCTAGATATTACTCACCTGTGAGATAACTGCTTTGGTTTATCTAGATTTAAGCTCATTTACATATATCAGCTGCACCAAAATCTAGTAGGTATTTTGTGAAATGGGGAGTAAGGAAGTGTGTATCATCAAAACCCATACTTTGAATTTATTTATGTTTTATAGTGATGCCATATTCTAAATGATCTAGCTGAAGTGCTAGAATCACATAACCTTCTTAGCCTGATACTCTATACAGTTTTATTTCCTCTATTTATAATTGGCAGTTTTGAGGGACATTCAGAAAGCTATGGAATTTCCCTGCTTTTCCTGTGACAGAATAGACAGAACGAAAGGAAGCAGGGTGCCACTGCACAGACAAGGCTATTTCCCTATCTGCAAAGTGAGATGCAATAATGGCCCTTATTTACCAAGGATCATCTTCTTTGTCTTTCAAAGAAGCGTAAGCACCTTTGAGACTTTTATTTCTTAAAACAGGCTCCAGTCATTGATGTCACCTAGGTGTTTTTAAAACTTTTATCCAATATTATCATCAACTGTGGACAGAATGTTTTACGTTATCATGCTATTTTGCCGTAACAACATTTAAGAAGTAACATAGCTAACAAAAGTTATTAAACATGTTAAAGTAGGAAGTAATGCACAAGATTATTAAAACTTGAGTGTACCTGAATTCTGCTCTACAAATCCTGGTTCCCTCCAGAGCTATTTGTGCCAGATTTTGTAGAATAGACAGCTAAGAACTTGGATGACACTGCAAAAATCTTCTGACTTTGAATCCAGGTGTCCAAAAGTTAAACATTAATGTCTTCATCTGCTTCATCAACTAACCTTCAAAATGTTGTCCTGTAACAGGAAACAGCACAGAACTGCAACTTTATCTTGCGATTAGAGCTGATTTTGGGGTATGCTATCTGCTGGTGCTCTGTGCAGAATGCTGTACTTAAAGAAGAGGAGATTTAATAGGAGATGAGCCGTATTGTTACCAGCATGGCATGATTTCCAGTAGCTGTGAAACAGATTAGGGTCATCAGCAGAGACAACAGGAGAGCTTTACCAACACAGCCCAGTATGGCTTACACAGGCAGAGAAAGGAGATAAATCCACAGCTATCAAAGGTAGGAAGCATTATCACTGACCTATACATTTTATACAATAGTGACCATAATTCCATGTTTTTTGACATCGTTATTTCATAGAAAAATGTGCAATAACTTTGCCATTTTCAATTACAGCAGAAGGAACACAGTGAAGAGCTAATAGAATTTATAGTCTGTTAGAAATCATGTTGATGCTGGCTTTTCATAGTATTGTAATTTGCCTCTTGTATACTTATTTGTTATAATGCATTTGAGAAACTTTAAAGATAAAGACAGTCATGAAATTATAGTGTTGTTAGTTACCAAGGGATTTATTTTTAAGGAGTTAATTTTTTTTTTGTTTTATTAAGAATATAGAGCAGCAAGCAAACTTGTAATTTCATCACAAATTATGCATGTTAAGAAAAAATAATTATCTGTTTTCCGTTCTGATCTATAAACGTACTCTTGGTAGAATTACAACTGTGTTGCATAAGCTCTAAAATTACATATGCGTTATAAATAAATATTAAGAGTATTCAAGAACTAGTTTGGGTCTCGTCGTTGGTACTTAAGCAGCTCTTTTGTTAGTCTGGTAATTTTTGTGTTGTGCTAAATCCCCACAATTTTAGTATTTGCATAATATGACATCATTCCTGTCAACTTCAGTCTATGTTCAGCAGACACCTGCTTCAGTTAAGAGGTGACCTCTGTAGGAGTTCCACCCGTGGTGATTATGTTAAATCCATTATACAGGCGTCTGGACATCAGTTGTGTAGTAACACAAGCAAAGCTTGGGTGTATTCACCTGAGAAGCTGCAGCCTCCTCTATGTCTGTATCTTCCACTTTCTTGGTCCATAAAATGCTTTTGTGATGACTTTATGAAAAACTTTATGTGCATTTCAGTGCCTGTGTCTGGAAAGACAACAGCAGGTTTCAACTACTCTCTGCTTTGCAGCACAGTCTTGACAAGAGAAGGCCGCTGTAGACCAGCCTCTTGATCTAATCATAGTTAGATGCACTTTTATGCACTGAAATATAAGCTGCTCTGTTCTGTTTTTAATTAGATGTCTGCCTTCTATCAGAACTTCTCTTTAGGATATTTTTATTAAACAATTCAAACTAACCACAAATAAGAAATTAGTTATTACAGTACAGGTTTTATGTCCAGAGGTACAAAATAAAAGTAATAAAATAAGACCTCTTTTTCTCTGAAAAACAAGTAGATGTTGCTGAAATGTGCATTTCTTAGTCACAGAACCAGTTTAGCATACTGCTAGCTTCCAAAAATAAATCATGCATGCTGCAGACAAAAATGCTTTTTTCTTTGCCATTTTTGTTAGCGTCATCAGGAAGATCCACATTTTTTAGTTAGAAATTATAAATCAAAAGGAAATAATCCCTCATGCCTTTAAAGTCAGAGGCTCAGTTTGACGTGTTGCCATTTACAACTGTATTTTTTTTAAATCTCTCTCCGTAACCAGTAAGCAGCCTAGTATCTGAATATCCTATGGTATCTGGAAAGGAAGAACAAAAACATTTTCATTTCCATTCTGTTACATAACTATTATTTTTTTTCCAGACCTTCAGGACAGGGAGATGGCATTTGACAGGAGGGTATTTGTCAGGCTATCATAGATGCTAAAATCTGGTTGAACAAGGAGAGACATGCCAGGGCAGAAGAATGTCTGGTACTGTATGTATTATTCTGTACGTGTACTTCTGTACTGGTCCTCTGTGAAGGAGCAATATTTTGAATAAGTCTGTGAGCTCCCATTAATATATTTTTTTCTACACCAAAAGAGAAACCATTAAGAGACATAAAGATTAAAACTGTATGCTTAGTTATTTTCAGAAGTAATATTATTTGGGTTCATTATGTCTTTTTGTTTTACTATGGCATGTTATTAGAGATGTTTAGTTTAAGATACTTCTGATTTAACACCAGTCATGTTGTGGATTTACTTGGCTTTTTCAGTGTCATCTCTTTCATCTACCTGGACCTACTTGGTCTCACATTGTTGGCCTCCCTGGACCCCTCCAGTGTCAAGACTTCAGTCTCCTTGGAACTCTTTAAAATCCCCTTTTCAGATTCTTTGGCTTTATCCAGTCTGAGCTCCTCTGCGGACTTCTCCAGTCTCACTTCTTCATCTTCTCTGGACCTTTCAAGTCTCACATCTTCAGCCTCTTCAGACTTCTCTAGTAGCTCCTCTCCAATCTCCTTAGAGCTCTCCAGTCTCTCCTCTTCAGATTCCTGGGAGCGCTCCAGTTTCACCTCTTCAATTTCACCGGACCTATCAAATCTCAGTTCACCAGGCTCTCTGGATCTCTCTGGAGACAGTTCTTCAATCTCTTTAGATTTCTCAAGCCTCACCTCTATACCCTCTACAGATTTCTCCAGTCCTACTTCTTCACCCTCTCTAGACCTCTCCAGTCTCACTTCTCCGTCCTCTCTCGATGTTTCCAGTCACACCTCCTCAGCTTCCTTGGACTTTTCCTGTACAATCCCTCCATCCTCACTAGGTGTATCAGAGCACACCTCCTCAACCTCTTCAGAATCACTAGATCTCACCAATTTTAACTATTTCATGTTTCAGGGCTCCTCCGAATTATCCTCATCAAACTCTGACGATGTTTCTAATTTCATCTCTACACCCTTTCTGGATGTCTCCAATCTCACCTTTCAGGATCCTTCTTCCCTCACTTCCCCAGTTTCTTTGGTCATTTCTAATCACACGTCTTTAGTTCCCCCAGACCTATCCACTCTCACATTTCTGGATGTTGCTAATCACACGACTTCAGCTTCTCTTGATCTGTGCATCTAACCCTCTTAACATATCCCTCCTTCTCTCTGCAACCTCGCTATATCTTTCTAAACTTTCCTCCTTTGTGTGCTCTTTCCTAAATTCTGTCTCTGAAAGTTCTTATCTGAGGAAAGTTTAGGGCTATACAAATATATTCTGTCATCTAAACAGAATGGGGCATGAATACAGGTTGTACAAATCTATAATGGTGCCTTGTTTACAGCTGCGTAAAGATCAATATATATTCTGGAGTTTTTGTACAGCACAATTTCTGTCACTAATCCAATTTCCATTCTGCCTCAGCATGGTACCTCTCCTAAAGGTTTAACTTTTTTTATTATTTTTGAATTTTTATCTATTAAGATCAACAAATAGTAAATAAAGCTAAATGTGCAAATAATTGTGTCCAAGTTGTATATCTCCATTATGGATTTAAATCTGAGTGCATTGCACAAAATTGCAGGCAGAGGCATTCCACGTGAAGGGACGAAGAGAAAAGATGTGGTGGGAAAACTGGGGGAAAAAAGAGCAGGTGAGAAACAGGGGTAAGGAGGGGAATCGGATAAGGTGTGGGACAGGAATAGAAGGACACACAACTGGAAGAAAGATGTCCAACTCTGCTAGCGTGATTTTTCTCTACCAAGCCATATTTGTGGCCTGGGCTGCCCACGAGACTTAAAATAATCTTATTGATAACTATTTTATTTATCAAATCATGTGAAGTTACCATCAAAACAGCATTTATCTATTACATCCCCTTTATTAATATATATAAGTAGTGAAATTGTGTTGTATCAAATATGTTGCACAGGTAGCAGAGAGAGGCTTCCTTAAATCGTTGTTTTCTTGTATCTTTTTCTTATGGTTATTATAATTGGGTTTTAGAAAACAAGTATATTTTGTTTCAATATCATATCACTGGCACGCTTTCTGTGTTAAAACTGTCAAAGCAAATATTTTTAAACCGATTTATTTTTACAAGGTGAAAAACTTTTCTCAGTGCCTGTCTCAAAATTAGGATAAAAATGGCTCACAAAAAAATAAATAAGGAAATAAATGCATGAAATAAGAATTATTTTCTGCCTCATTTATACTTGTTGTTTCTTTAAAATCATGTAGGAAAGACTAATACATGGATTTTAGAAATGAACCCCAAAATCAATAGGAGAAAAGTTGTTTAGCAGTTATTAAAAAAAAAAAATCACAAATCATTGGACCAGATGGAAGGAACTAGCATAATGTAGCATCCTAAACTGTCCACTTCCAAAAATATCATCAGAACTAGCATAAAAGGGTCTTCTTCAGTAATCTCAGCACAGAGATTAAGTAGGCAAATTAAGGATGGGAAATTCTTTCCATCTTTTCACTCTTTCTTTCTGGTTGGCCTACTTATTACACTGTTGGGCAATCTTCTTTTACTGTCATAAACTATCCTGGAGACTCTGACATAGCAGAGGATCAGCTCCTCCAACCTCAGGAGTGATGCATCCCAACAACGAGGAAGTCGGGGGAAAATGCCAGGAGGCCTGTGTGGATGAACAAGCAGCTCCTGGACAAGCTCAAACACAAAAAGAAAGCCTGCAGAGGGTGGAAGCAATGACAGGTAGTATGGGAGAGATACAAAGAAACTGTCTGAGCAGCCAGTGATCAGGTTAGGAAGGCCAAAGCCCTGATAGAGTTAAATCTGGCCAAGGATGTCAAGGGCAACAGGCTGGAGAGGTGGGCCCGTACAAACCTCATGAAGTTCAACAAGGCCAAGTGCAAGGTCCTGCCCATGGGTTGGGGCGATCCCAAACACAAATCCCAGCTGGGCGAGAAGTGGAATGAGAGCAGTCCTGTGGAGAAGGACTTGGGGTATTAGTGGCTGGAAAACTGTCTGTGAGCCAGCACCGTGTGCTCACAGCCCAGAACCCACCCATGCCCTGGGCTGCATCCAGAGCAGGGGGGGCAGCAGGGCCAGGGAGGGGATTCTCCCCCTCTGCTCCGCTCTGGGGAGACCCCCCTGCAGTGCTGGGGCCAGCTCAGGGGCCCCCAACAGCAGAAGGACACGGAGCTGCTCGAGCGGGGCCAGAGGAGGCCACGAAGATGCTGGGGGGGCTGGAGCAGCTCCCCTGGGAGGCCGGGCTGAGAGAGTTGGGGGGGTTCAGCCTGGAGAGGAGAAGGCTCCGGGGAGCCCTTCGAGCGGCCTCCCAGGGCTTAAAGGGGGGACAAGGAGAGGTGGGGAGGGACTCTGGATCAGGGAGTGCAGAGACAGGACAAAGGGTAACGGTTTTAAACTGAAAGAAGATTTAGATTAGATATAAGGAAGAAATTCTTCCCTGTGTGGGTGGTGAGACCCTGGCCCAGGGTGCCCAGAGCAGCTGTGGCTGCCCCCTCCCTGGAAGGGTTCAAGGCCAGGTTGGACGGGGCTTGGAGCAACCTGGGCTGGGGGATGGTGTCCCTGCCCGTGGCAGGGAGTGGGACTAGATGATCTTTAAGGTCCATTCCAACTCAAACCATTCTGTGATTATGTATCTGGTAACAATTGCTCTTTTTGTTCTGGTGGATATATACTGACATTATAATGTATGGATTGTTAATTGCAATGGCTCTGGACTATGTGAGATCTATAATAAAGCTAGAAATTACTCGGTGCTTTAAAAATGTAAGTGAAAACATCACTGTGCAATGTGAAATCACTGTGATTTCCAGGGATCTGCACTTCAGCAGATACCAAAATCAGCAGGAAATCACAAGGCCTCTGTGCAAAGACGACCAAAGTCATCAGTGTTTCAAGACCTGTATGGCTTCTGGAGGGTTCTTAAAAATTTTGTGATGTTGTTTGGCTCTAGACAGAAGGAATAGAGAAAACAGCTATGCATACTGAAATGCAAGGATTTATTAAAAATCCAAACCATAATCTCCTTAAATCCTTAGTCCTAATTATTTAAATGAACATTAGATTAGGACCAAAGTGATTCCTTATCAAACATGATTCAACTCTTCTCATAATTTTTTGCTTATTTTACATGGAAAATTATCTGTTTTTCTATTGAGTGTTGGCAGGCTAGGATAGTTTCTAGTTTGCTACATTGTCTTTTATGAATTTGTTTAGTGTAAATGATTGAATATAATTTCAGGTGTGTGCATAAACAGTCTTACATCCAAAAGAGTCCCATGTTAAGGTATCATGTCTGACAGGATAAAATGCTGAATATGGCACAGCTTGGCCACACACAGATTAAAACACCAAATTGAAGACAGTCTGTTTATAAAAGTAATTGGCTCCACCTGCTTGTAAACCATTTTATTCTTTAGTCTTACCCAGAAAAAGCTAAGAACTGATGGCATAGAGGTAATGTCAACTGATTTAGCTGGAAGAAAACATGCTTTTAACCACTTGCTTGGCTTCCTAGATCACAACAGGACTTCTTAGGAATGAGTTAATATGTAGACTATCATTAAGTGCTATATAACTAGCCATTAGCCTCATAGAAGAGTCAAGACTTTGGTTAACGGATATGTGTTTCTGGCAAATTACTGGCTCTGAATCATGCAATACCACGCACATACCCGCTTTTTTGGACACCAGAGGCAGGTCGCAGCTGGACATACCTGAAGGCGGAGATGAGACCTTCCCCAACAGGGAAAGACCCAAACCTTTCCCAAACAATTCTTATGGGTAAGAACCAGGAGAAACACGTCAATACAGCGCAGTGCAGCCCGCATTCCTGCGGCGAGGCCGGGAACCTCCCGCTCCCCCAGGAGGCGGGGACTCGCGGGCTCTCTTCGGCCTCTGATTGGTCGCTGCAGGAGGAGAGCACTCGTGACTGGAGGCGCAACTGGTAGTTGCCATTGGCCAGACTCCCTGAGGTAACTCGGATTCCCATTGGAAGAAGGACCGTTCCTGTTTGTTGATTGGCTAGAAAGCCGCTCTGTGGGCTTTCCTCTTCCGCTGGGCGCTGACCTTGCCGGGAGCGGGGCGGTGGGCTGCAGCGATGGTCGCGTATTGGCGGCAGGCTGGGCTCAGGTACCTGTCTGGCGGCGACACGGGCTCCAGTCGCGACTGACTGGCGATAGCTGTAACGGCCGGAGGCGGGAGAGCCGACGGGGTGGCAGCCGTGTCTCTGCAGGGAGTGGAGGAGCTTTTGGGACGGGTTTGATTCTCACCTTCGTTTTCTCTCCTGTCTTTAGTTATATCCGGTATTCCCAGATCTGTGCCCAGGTTGTTAGAGCGGCAATGAAGCCTCAGTACAAAGCGGAGGCAGAGAGGGTGGCAATGGCCACTGTGAAAACTGTGAAGCCCAAGAAAGAATAAAATGTAAGTAAATAGAGCGGGCGGGGGTGCCTCATTACAGCTTTTTATATGAGGAGTGTTCGTTTCCCAGTGTGAATCAAGTTAATGAAAGTCTGTAACTGCTTGGTTCATTTCGTGCAAGATGTGGGAAACCAGCTCTGATCTTCATACATGAAGTGAATGGATTGCTGACTGGTTTGGTGCAAGTGTGTGTAGATGTGGCTGCATCCTGATTACTTATGGAATAGGAAATTCCTTAATCTCATTAGTTCAGTAAAGTGGGATGTTCTATCCACCAAGCCCTGCTTTGAAAGATTTAGGGCTTGGCCAAAGTTGTTATGCACTTATGCAAAACAGCTGGGTTGCTATAGTGATGTTCATAGGTTTCCTGTCTCTTACTTTACGAAGCCAGCAGACAGCCTCTCTGAACTACTGTTTCCCCTAATCAGCAGACTTATTTGCCTGTTATCTACTATCCAGGAGCGATAGATGCTATTTGTACCTTTATTTGTGACATCGCATATGTCATGAGCAGCTGAAACCTCTTCTGTTTCAAGTAGAGCAGCTTCTGTTCCTGATCTGAGATTATTATTACCTTCTGTTTGAAGCATACCTTGTACATATTCTTGAAGCTAATAACTTGTATTTTAAATCTCTCATAGGAACTGATCTGTGGTGAATATGCTAACGGCAAACTGCAAAGCTGTAGGCAAGCTCAAGACTCTGCAATAGGATGTCATCACGTTAACTGTAACACTTGCCTCTGTGTAAAGCAGTATGCTAATAAATGTAATTTCTGTTGAATGAATGTGTGGAAAGTGTTGTTCTTCTAGGAGCAAAGTACTCCTTTTTGCAGAGACATTTATCTTTCACTTGTGTTTAAAATAGAAGACTTTTTATCACAGTCTATGATTGAGTAGCAACATATGTTTATTTTTAAGGCAAATCTCTTGTTGGATTTCATGTTGATATTCCAGGTATATAAATGAATGAGATTTAATTACTGTTTAAAACTTCTCTGCTTACTTCATTTCAATGATTAGTGATTACTTTGGAAAAAAGCTTTCTTCACTAAAACCTGTAGTTTGCCCATTCATATGTCTAGAATATAGGCATATCATTTAGGTAAAAATATCTCTGTCAGTTCTCTCTGCTGGAAGTGGTACACTGTTGGCTTTAAAATTCTCTGTCATAATGATGCTTGTCTTTCATGTGGGCTTAGAACAAAACTAACTTGGTTAAAATCAATTTGACAAGGCTTAGGGTTACAGCTAAACTGGAAGCAGGATCTTTTCTCGTGGGTGTGCTGTGTGGGACCCCATCCCCAGGCTGTCTGGAACGCTGAACTGTGAACTGGGAGTTGGAGACCTGGTGCCCTGTATGAGGTGGAAAAGGAGGCACAGAAAGCCCTGGGCTGTGCTCTGGTCTCGCAGGCAGTGGTTGTCCTTGTTATCACTTTGTCACTTTACCAGGGATGGGGGAGAGGGACAGGCGTTCGATGGGAACAGCAGGAATGGAGGGTGATACTCTGCACCTGGAGCTCTGTTGGTCTGGGGGAAACTGCACAGGAGGAAATAGAGCATGCTCATAGAACTGGCTGTCAACTCAAACATGAGGAATCACTTTCTTCAGAGTACAATAAACCCTCTCTTCTAAAAGTATAATAAAAAAAGCTCATTTTTTTTCATGTAATTTAAAGGTAGTCCTTACAAAAATAAACCATGATTTTTGTCTATCAAATGTTTCAAGTACTAAAGTATTTTATAGACTGCTATATAATTTTTATTTTAAAGAGTGTTATAAATACAGTGTTAAGTAGATAGCTGTGAAGGGCAGGAAAGTTTTTTTCCTGAAGTCAAGATATGTTTTTGATTTAGTGATTGCTGCTGAACTTATATCTAACTAGCTGCAAACCATTCTATCCATTTTGTTGTACTGAATGATAGGAAAAAAAAAATACAGTAGTTAGTACACATGGGAAAAAAAATTCCACACCAAAGCTTTTAGACAGTGTTCACAACTTTGTATGCTAATGTAAGTAAAGCTATAGTTTGCAAGAAAAACAAACCACACAGAGATAATGAATACAAGCTCTGCAGTAATATAAGCCAGCAAGGTGATAGAACTATTAAAGTAGTTTTAAAAAAAAGTAAGAATGTGCATTTTGCCCCATGTTGTTCCCCCTCCCCTTTCAACTTAAGGAACAGAATGTGGCTGCAGATCTACATCAGTCTGTGGAGTATGTAATAAAATAGGTACTGCCTTTATCGGCCTTACAGGCATGCACGTGTTCCTGAAAAAGTAACAAGTTCACAAACAAAACACAGACCGTGTTTAACTGAGAATAAATAAATTTGATGAGTTGATAGCATATTTTGCTGTTGCTTATGAACTTGATATATATATACCCAGACACAGAGGCTGTATATTACATTCAGTATCTAGTGCTAAATCTGTAAAAGTGGATACATTTACAAGAAAGGCAACTTGTCTTCATAGTAGCTTTTTCGGGAGAGATTTGGCGTCAACAGTTGTTTAGGAGAGGAAAGCATAGCTGCCATTAATTTTAAAAGCATTGTATTGTAATATTGGATATATTTTGACCAGATGCAGAGAAAAAATTCTGAAGAAATGTGCCTTTTTTGTTACACAGATGATGGATACTGCCTTTTCTTTAGTGAGTGTCAACAGGCTTATTTGGGGAATCTTCTGCTATGGCCATTGTTTTTACTGTGCTTCCTTTTCTGGGCTGGCTTCCACTTCTACCTCTTCGTATTCTTCAACATCTGCAGTGGCATCCTGGTACTGTTGGTACTCGGACACAAGATCGTTGGTGTTACCTTCTGCTTCAGAAAACTCCATCTCATCCATACCTTCACCAGTATACCAATGGAGAAAAGCTTTTCTTCTGAACATAGCTGAGAACTGTTCAGAAACCCTGATGAAGAGCTCCTGAATGGCTGTGTTATTGCCAATAAAGGTAGCTGCCATCTTCAAGCCTCGCGGTGGTATGTCACACACAGCCACTTTGACATTATTAGGGATCCACTCCACAAAGTAAGAACTGTTCTTGGTCTGGACAGCCAGCAACTGCTCATCCACCTCTCTGGTAGACATTCGGCCCCTGAAGATGCATGCCACAGTCAAGTAACGTCCACGACGAGGGTCACATGCTGCCATCATGTTGCGTGCATCAAACATTTGTTGAGTAAGCTCCGGCACCGAGAGGGCTCTGTACTGTTGGCTACCTCGAGCTGTCAGTGGAGCAAAGCCTGGCATAAAGAAATGCAGGCGAGGAAATGGCACCATGTTAACAGCCAGCTTTCTCAGATCTGCATTCAGTTGACCAGGAAAACGGAGTGAGGTTGTGACACCGCTCATTGTTAGGGACACTAAGTGGTTGAGGTCACCATAGGTGGGATTGGTGAGCTTTAAAGTTCTAAAACATATATCGTACAGAGCTTCATTGTCAATGCAAAAGGTTTCATCTGTATTCTCTATTAGCTGATGGATGGAAAGGATGGCATTATATGGCTCTACGACTGTGTCGGATACTTTGGGTGAAGGCACAACACTGAAAGTGTTCATAATCCTGTCAGGGTATTCTTCTCTGATTTTGTTGATGAGGAGCGTGCCCATACCTGAGCCTGTGCCACCACCAAGCGAATGGATGAGCTGGAATCCCTGAAGGCAGTCACAGCTCTCACACTCGTTCCTGACCACATCCATGACATTTTCAATCAGTTCAGCACCTTCCGTGTAATGGCCCTTAGCCCAGTTGTTTCCAGCACCTGAATTGCCTGTAAACAGAATTACAGAAAGAACAGCCACAAAGTTAACAAGTGAATTTTTAAAGGCTACAAAGGTGGGGGTTAAAAGGCCATTTTGGGACAGTTGAGTCTAGATAGTTTGCTGACAGCATGCTGTACATACCATGAATAAAATTGTCGGGTCGAAAGAGTGGGCCTATTTTGCTAGACCGTACGCTGTCCATTGTACCAGGTTCCAGATCCACCAAGATAGAACGGGGCACGTATTTATGGGCTAGGATGAAAGAAAATTAATGTGAACAATTATTGTTAGAAGTCAAAGAGACAGGCTTATAATCTACTCTGAAAAACCCAATCTACCTACAGTGATTTGGGGATTTATTTTTTTAAAAAATTACTTATATTAACCTTCGCGTTGGTTCTGCAAATTGCTCTGTCAGCACCCTGTCTGTGCTGAGCACTTACAGTAAGCCTCATTGAAGTACACGTTAATTCGCTCAAGCTGCAGTGACGCATCCCCATGGTAGTTTCCAGCGATGTCAATGCCATGTTCATCACTTATCACCTCCCAGAACTGAAAAAGGAAAGAGGTTCAATATACTCACAAAGATATACTTTTTTCCAGCACAATGTGTTCAGCACCGGCTCTGGTGTGTTCATGCCTGATGGCACATAAAGTAGGAACTGTGCCTGAAGTGGGGAATGTTTTGCCATTTAAGTGTCAGATGACAGCAGGGCTCCTCCTCCCCCCCTTCTCCAAATAAGTGCAAGGGAATAATTTAGAAGACCATTTATGCTGCTTAGCCATCACCCATACACTAATAGGTGGAGGCCTTCAATTTATTCCCTTTATAGTAAAGAAAAATTGATATTAAATAACATAGGTACTAACTAGTATGAGCTTAACAAAAAAATCGGGGGGGAGTGGGGGTGGATTGGGAGGGTTGCTCTGAGGCCTGTCATGCACCAGTGGGACTGTGGCATGGCAAAGCTGACTCAGACACATTTGTGCGTGAGCAATGCTTTCCACAAACGGATGTTGGTTCTAAATGGCCTATCTTGACGTTCATATGGATGTCTTGTACTGGGGCTCTTATCTAGGCAGCAGCCACAGCAGTGTTAATGTAGACACACCCACCCACTGTAATGACCAGGCTATTTTAATTTTAAAGGTCTCCTGGTTTACCATGCAGCCTTGTTTTTAGTGTACAAATACCACTGTCAACATGCACACAGTGTGTGCGTTTTTCTACAGGTCTTATTAGACATAATCAGTTTCCAGGCCAAAGCCAACAGAAAAAATAAAAATATTTCAACTATCACACTGGCTGCATTCAAACTATCTGGGTCTAGCATGACATTCCCTGGCCATCCACAGCTTCATGTTCCAATAAAAGGAGTCAAGGTGAGATTTGTGGGAGCAAAAAGTGGAGGAAGAACACAATGGAAAAATCCTTCAGCTATCAAGTGTCTTCAAAGACTTCCCAGCCCTAAATTAACGCAGACACTTTTTTTTTTTTTTTGACAGCTTCCTACTTATCAATAAATAAATAAAAAGATGGACATCACACAGCAAAAAGCAATGTGTTGCTTTATTTTTTTTCCTCTCTCCTAGCACAGAAAGTCAGCAATAAGCAACCTCTCTAAGTAACAGCAAAATACTCTGACACCACTACCTCTCAAAGGAGGACAGTGAGGCAGGAATCCTTAACTGCACTTTGTGCTACTCTCAGAAAAACCTCATGGATAGCAGAGGTCATTCTGTTGATTACTACAATTCCATATTAATTATTATCATGTGGCAGAGTTACTGCTGTATGGCTGAACTAAAGTACTGGCATCACAACTTTGCAGCCCTGGAATTACCGGCTCCTTCACTTGTCCCAGTATTTTGCAAACTAGATTAGTGCCCCTGGGAATATCAGTCCCAGCAGGAATGCCCAGGAGCACTCATAATCACCATGCCATAGTTATTGCAGCTGTTTCATTCTTTGACAGTCTTTAATTTAAAGGTTAATGTTTTAACCTTTGATGAGGAGTAAGACCTTCATATCAAAGCACTCAAAATTCACTGCTCGTGTGCCGTGCATCCTACCATTGAGTTAACAAAGTAATTTTTCCCCCTGAAAGTCTCCGTCTGGTATCGATGTTTGACCTGCTATCACTGATAGCACTTACTACTCATGACCAATATTGAAAAGAGACCTTACCTTAGCTCCAATTTGGTTCCCACACTGGCCAATCTGAAGATGCACAATTTCACGCATTTTGTGTAGCTTAGACCTGTTGGTGGCTACAACCTAACACAGGTTTTTCTAGTTGCAGAACAAGCCCTCTTTCTGCTGTTCCGTCAGCTACACCCAATGCAGTCCACCCCAAGGGGCCTTTTTATACTAGTGGGACTGTCACTCAGCCAGCAAGGGGAGTAGCCAGCTCCTCAGGCTGCTCCTCAACGCATTTGTCAAGGAGGCAAAGTGCCCCTTCACTGCCTGTGGATAGGGTACAAGAGCAGAGGTGCATTACCGAGTGGCTTGGAAAAGAAAATTGTCACATGCACCCCCCTACAATTAATTCCAGTTGTCTGTGCAGCAAACAGTGTGATTCATTAAAATCTGTGCACATCGTATTTGTGTTTCATTATTTTATACATATTATATATATGAAAATATACACATATATGGAGATTATAGCTAAAAATTAATGATCTTATTTTTTTAAGTGCTTCTGCTACATAATTTACATTTTAACATCATATGAGTCATACACGACAACATCCATAATAAAAAACAAACAAACAAACAAAAAACTTCTGAGCAGTAGACTCCTATAATCAATCACAATATTCAGCGCATGACCAGGCGAACGTGTAGTTCACTAATAAACATCATTCTTAGTATCTAACTGCATGAAAGAGGGGGGACAGGATCAGTAACAAAAAAATACTTTGTAAAGCATAAATGTAACACTATACTCTCAGTGGTATATATTCCTTAAAGATTTAATAAGAATCTATATATCTGAGCTAATCTAAAATCTGAATCAACTCGTGGCTAACTTGCACAGATGCTCTCTCATTCTCTCTCTCTTCCTTTCCTGCCATTAAGAAATACAATATTTCTTACAGATCTTATTTTCTTATATCTGAGATGTTGTATTTCAGAACTTGTCAGCAAAATGCTAGAGGTGACCGCTCAGTTCCAGTGAAGTTAACTATAGTGCTCACTGTGTGAAATGTTTCACTGCATTGAAGGAAATGATGCAAGGCTGAGCAAAACATGACACAGTCATGTTCCCTGCTGATAAACAGGACTAATATCACTGAGCAACAGAAACCCAGAATGGACTGTCTTCTGGAAGCTTATAGTAGCTTTATTACATGTCAGGCGACTGTCAGTGCTTTGCAAGTGTTCCTTTTAAGGATAGGAAAAGGAACTATCCTTAGGAAAGCACCTTAAATTATTTTGTGTAAAAAGATGACAGTGGAAGGACTTGACTCGTTGAAAGTAACTACCACTTTATGGCTTGCTAAAGATAAGGAATCACTGAGCTTCCATATGGTTCCAAAAGAAAAATCAGCTTATTCCAGACTTCCCCACCACAGATGACTTCCACTTCTTCCATCAGAGGAACAGACAACTGCGCCTAAGACAAAGTTTAGCATTGCAAAAAAAGTAGCTGGCAAATATTCTGTCATCTTCCCCCAAGCTATGACCTGCCCTCAGTAGGGAGTAATAAAAGCAAGACTTTAAATTCAGGTAGATTAACTTTGTTTCCTTAAAACATAACAGTGTTATCATTTTCCAAAAATTAAGTGTTTACCAAACAGTCTAGTTTACTCAGCAAGGCAACATAACAGTTATGCTCCATTGCCACATTGTAGATACTTTCTACAATGGCAGTGGCTATCTTCTACAATTTCCTAAGACAAAATTCTGGAAAAGTTATTTGGACATTTACTTTGAAAGCAAATTTCATATTATTCATGCACATTTTATATTTGTCTTCTCCAACTATGCTTAGCTAAAAGTAATAGTGCAATTCTGAGTTGTAGATTCAATTGCTGTGTTTGGAATGGGAGCTGCAATGACAGAATGTGTCAGAGAGCTGCTGACACTAAATAAATGCTACTTAAAATATGCAATGTATTAATCCACAATAGCCACAATTTATGAAGAGGCTGAAGATGCTAATACTCTGTCCAAAAAATGTGGCAAAACTATTTCAGCAATAAACATACTCACTGAGAGCATCTCACAAGCAAAGCAAAAAAAAAAAAAAAAAAAAAAAAAAAAAAGAAGGAAGTGAAAGAAATATGCAGTCACTTAACATTGGGTTTTCTCTTGCTAAAAATAGCTCCCTGGAATCATGTGCCTCCTCTGAATCACTTCCTTATAGAGACTTATAATTTATGGCACATGACACAAAGTAGTCAAGGTGCTTTGTGAAGCAGAGGTGGTTTTGTGCCTCTTTTTCCTCTCCTCCTCAATTGCATTTCTGTGAATCTCTGAGTCTGTCTTTATACCAAGTCTGGTACATAAAAAGCCTGTTTCTGTGTGGATTTTGTTTGCAGGCCTGTCATTCCCCAGCTCTGAGGAACCTCAAGCCTGTTAACTGCCCGTGTGTGCTTCTCAGGGATGGCCATTGAACATGTGCTATGGCAGATTAGCGGTGTGAGCGTCACTGGAGAAAGAGGAGATGGTGGTGGAGGGGCTGGCTCGAGGGACTTCTGGCACTGCGAAGATTAGGAGCAGCCTGGCACCAGGCACAGCTACTACCAGCCTGTCCTGCAGTGACTATTATCAGGCTGCCCACTGCTTCCATTGCCTTCAGAGTGGGCCCTAGATATCAAAGCCCTGGCGCTGGGTGTAAGCTAAAGCCACAAACAAGCCAGGTTTTTTGTTACTGGTTTTTGTTTGTTTCTGTTTTTATTGCTTGTGTTTTATTTTGTTGTGTTTTGTTTTTAATGTGACCACAGTTCCCACTAGCAACAAATACAAACATGCAGGGAGGCATTCTGTGATACTGCTTTTTTTTTTAATATGATTTACTTTGAAGGAACTAGATTTTCACAGTAGCAGAGAAGATTATTGAGAAGAAAGTCTATTCAAATTGAGAGAAGTCTGGCTACAGGCCACCTGGTAATTTGAGAGAGCTCTGTGAATGGCTATCAGATGAGCTGATGCTAGTCTCAACTAATCTGGGCTAGCTACATCATCCTAGGAATGCTACCAAAAACCATTGCATTCAATAGGCAATAAAGACTATCTACTTCACATTTTCATTTCAGTTAGTAAGAAAAACTATTTAAAGACTGCCTTCCTCTGGCAGGTGGTCCAAAGACTGACTGCTGCAAGTTACCATCAGAGTAATGAACATTTTGGTACAACCGGAGTGGACAACCGAGCAGTTCATTAACTTCCCCATGCTGAAGAGCTACAACCTGGCAAAAACCTGGGGCTTGCATGTGAATTCATCTGCGGGGTACTTACTAGGGCCCTCTCGCCACAGCCACAGTTAGTGTGGAGTCTGGATCATTTAATGAATTACCAAAAAGGTCAACTGCACAGCAGCCACAATCAGTTCTTGTCTGCTGTTGCTTTTGTTGCACTGATTCTCAGTGCCTCAGTTTCTCTGTTCATAATGTGGAGCTAATAAACCTCATGCCTTTTTTATAAAACATGCTGAGAGCTTAGGAAGAAACGCTATGAGGGAAGGACTGGCTGTGGTTTACTAAACCTGTTTACCAAACATGAAAGCTCTAGCCAACATATGGAAAAGACACTAGTAGCCTACTCACGCAGATACTTAAACCTTCTGCAAGAAAATTAGAAAGCTACTTTTTACTATTGACTAAATCTTGTAGCAGATAATAAAGAATCTTCAAATGTCCTGAACCCTAAAGAAGAGCCTAAAAATTGGACACAGACCTGCATTCCTTTGTAAATTGTAGCATAAAAGGGCTTGAAAAATTCCAAATTTGGGACTAGCAAAAAAAAGCAACCAAACCAACCTCCCAGCCTGCCTGCTCTGGGCAATCACACAGTCCTGGGTGCAGTCTTACCCAACGCTGGTGTGTCAGGCCAAAGGTAAAGAATCCTGTAACCCCACCACACAGGGGCCGCATCCATCTCTGGTACGAGTCCTCTCGGCACAAACCCTGTGTTGACACCAACTCCATATATTGAATCATCATACTGCTTTAATGGCTTTTCCTTTTCTTTTTTTTGGGGGGGGAGGAAGAGAAGTGCTTAAAATCGCTTCGTTTTTTGAGCGTGCGAGACGGAGATTTCACACGGGGGGGACCAGCGGGACACCCCGCCATGAGGTAGAGAAGGCGGGGGGCGCACCCTCCTCAGGTGGGCACGCCCCGCCCCCAACCCCACCCCCCACCCCCCCCCCTCCCTTAAATACCGGCGCCGGGGCCGCGCCGCGGAGGGCGGTGGTACCAACACCAGCATGGCCGCGCTGTTCCGGCCCCTCGCGTCCCTCCTGCTGCTGCTCGGGGTGTGCCTGTGGCCGCCCGCCCGCGCCGGCCTGCACTTCAAAGCCGGGCAGCGCTGCTACCGCCCGGCCCCGCACAGGGCGCCCGGCCTGAGGTGAGCCCCCCCCCCCCCGCCGCCCTGCCTCACACGGGGCCGGATCCCGAGGAGGAGGAGGAAGGGAGGGGAGGGTCGCGGGAGCTGGGCTGCCGCCGCAGCGCCCCCCGGCGCGGGGGGCTTTGCAAACGCCATACTGCCCAGCCTCACAGAGGGGCGGGGGGAGGCAGGCTCCCCGGGGCAGCACTGGCCCCCCCGGTGCCGAGGGAGGGCTCCCCAGGACCTGCGAGGGGGGAGATGGCGGGGCGCGGTGACCGTCACGGGACCGCTGTCACGTGACCCGCGCGGCTCGCCGGACACCCGCAGTCTCGTTACGACACAGCGTGAAGGCTGTGATTTTTTTTTTTTTTTTTTTTTTTAAACCCCCCCGCCTTGCTTCCTTTGCCTGACAAGAGAGGCTCAGGGAGCTAGCTCTTCTCTCCTCCTCCACGCAGGACCTACCCACGCCCGCACGAGTACCTGGACGTCTCGGCGCTGCCCAGGAGCTGGGACTGGAGGGATGTGAACGGCGTGAATTACGCCAGTGCCACGCGGAACCAGCACATCCCCCAGTACTGCGGGTCCTGCTGGGCCCACGGCAGCACCAGTGCGCTCGCAGGTGTGTGGGGCAGGGGGGCTGCCCCCACTGATTTATAGGCTGTGGTAAGCAGAGGAAGTTTTCCCTCCAGTTTACAAAATTGTTGGTATAAAGAAGAGGTGCCAGATTGCTGTGGTGGCAAATGCGGGAAAAACTGAGTCCAAACACACCTGTGGGGATTCCCAAGCTGAAGGCGAGGAAGTTTGGTTTTAATTGAGGAAGCAATCAGAGTGAGGCTGTCCCCACCCTCTCGAAATGGTGTGAGGGGGGATGCGCTGGCACGAGTAAAAAGCTGTTTGCAGAAGGGCTGCATTCATAGCTCCTGCCAAACCAGTGTTTAGGCCCTGGAGTAAGAACTGAATTTTCTGCCCCTCTTGCTGGAGGTGTGGTGATGGCAGCAGCAGATGCAAAAGAAGTTATCATGTCATCTTCCCCTTTTTGGTACCCGAGCCTGCTGTACTACATCTTCAGCAGCTGGGGGCTGCTCCAGTGATGCCTGAGTATCAGGAAACGAAAGAAGTTGTGTCTCATGCGAGGCCTGCAGGGTCTTGGCTTCAAGAGCAGTGTTATTCCAAGAAACTGACTACTACCGCATACAGAGAAATCTAGTTTCAGCAGATACCTATCAGCCTTGGGAAAAGGGAAGTAGGGGTTTGCTTCAGCTGGAGAAACATTTTCTCTAGAAAGAATACACAATGATTTGCATGCAATAGTAACATGCTGCAGGGGTACTGTTTGCATAGGGAAGCTGTAAGAGGATTAACTGTGAAGGAGAAAGAGGCAGCTGTGCAGAAATGGGAAAACAATGCAGGTGCAAGAAGTCAGCAGTAATCACAAAGGATCTGTTCTTAAGCAGTACAAGAATAAAGACATATGAAACATGACATGATGTAGTAAAATACTAGGACAGATAAAATATAGAAACTTCTTAATTACATAACTGGTTAAAACTTAACTGTATATGCAGGTATGCAAGTATTTGCATTTTTGTAAGTATAAAAGGTTCATTTTAAAAATCAGGGTATTTTTTCTTAACTTCTGTATATAGTTAAAACATTCATTCCTCCTGTTGTTGCTAGAAGACTAGGCTGGGATAATGCCTCCCAGTTCTGTCAAGTATAGTTGAATGTTTAGTACTAATAGGATTAAAAGTACTACAGTGGCATCAGTTAAGGCTGTTAATGTACTGTGAGCAGTTTATAAATACTCATTGAGAAGCTCTTCTGTCAGATAAGCTAGTTGTTTCTGACAAAGTAAGGCAGGAGGGTGGCATTGACTGTCTGAGATGGTAGGATAACAGTGAGATGCTGACATAAGTGAGGATATACTTCTGAAAGCTTTCCCCTGCTTTAAATTTGTGAAGACTGTCTCAGAGCCAGAGACCTGGGCTGCAGGGGCTTCTGACTCTCTGCCGGGGTTTTTGCATAAATCTTTACTCCTGTAAAAGAGGCCAGTAAGAGCTGGTTTTATGATGTGTATTTAAAAACCCTTTGCTGTCAAAGCCAGGAAACAGATCTGGAAGTTTTCAGAAGCTGTGACTTGAATTAAAAGAGGTTTAGGGCACTTCAAGGCTTTAAACAGATCTTACTCATCTGCCTGGTTTTGCTGAGTTTCTAGTGGAAAAAAATTCTAATGGAAACCCACAATAATTCAGGCTGCTGGTTTGAGTTAGGTCATGCTATGTGCCTCACAGTCAACAGGCTTCTCCAACCACAAGTACTGTTGCCTGCAAACAGTTACAGGTTCAATGAGGACAGTTTTAACACTAGTTGCAGTGTGTGACCACCCACGTATTCCACTAACAAAACCAAATTTCTTATCCTTACAGATCGAATCAACATAAAGAGAAAAGGTGCATGGCCTTCTGCCTACCTCTCTGTTCAGAATGTGATTGATTGTGCTGATGCAGGATCCTGTGAAGGTGGAGACCACTCAGGTGTTTGGAAGTATGCCCATGACCATGGCATTCCAGATGAGACCTGCAACAACTACCAAGCTAAGGATCAAAGTATGATGCCTGTTTGCTTTGCTGGAAGGCTTCATCCCAGGTTTAGCAGATTTTAGTATATAAAGTTGGTTTATTGGGTTTTCAGTGTACTGGTTCCTGCCTTTCAGTGCAGTACCTGCTGTCTGACTGACAGAACCGGTTTTCCTTACAGGCCTCTGTGTGTGTCTACTCTAGACAGACAGCACAGCATTAAATCATGCCCAGACAAGTGTGCACAGCTAAATTGTTTTAACTTAATCTCTTAAGTCTGTGATATACAATCTCTAATGTACTAAAATATTTACAGGGGTCACCTCAAGATAAACTAAGGAGAAATGTAACCTTTGTCTGCTCATGTATGACTGGAATAGTTTATGTATCTATAGAGAAGCACATCTGAAACATTTCCTCATCAAAGCACTTACGGTTATGAAGTGAAGAATAGTGATTGTAGGGACTTTAAATGAGGTTTCCAGAAAGGAATTTAGTTCAGCAGAGAGCATATGTATTAGTAATTACTCTTAAATTATTACTATCTGCCTCAAATCAGTTAAAAGAAAATATAGCTTAGTCTCATATCATTAATTCAGTTGAAAAAAAGCATTCTGTTGCAGTGATAATCTCATTTGTTTTGTAGAGTGTAAGAAGTTTAACCAGTGTGGAACTTGTGTCACTTTTGGAGAATGCCATGTGATAAAGAACTATACTCTCTGGAAAGTTGCTGACTACGGGTCTGTCAGTGGAAGAGAAAAAATGATGGCAGAAATCTATACTAATGGACCAATTAGGTAAAAAAATCTTGAAAGGTAACAAAAGAAAATGTTTATTTACTAGTAATAACAGGATTTAAATACTTTAAACTCTGTTTAATGACTGAAGTGTACTTTTCCACTCTAAGATATGTTAGCAGCTCTGTACTAATATGCAGACTTGATCTTGTTTATAGCTCTGAAGTCTCACAATGCAAGAAAACTAGTTTTTAGCCAGGCACCTGCTCTGATCCCCTTGTATAAAAACCACTTTTTCTGTTTTATTGCAGCTGTGGCATAATGGCTACTGAAAAGTTGGATGCTTATACTGGAGGACTTTATACAGAGTACAACCCCTCGCCTGTGGTGAATCACATTGTATCTGTGGCTGGCTGGGGTGTAGAAAATGGAACAGAATACTGGATTGTTCGTAACTCATGGGGTGAACCCTGGGTAAGGAAATGTGGGAACAAACATGCTTGCGGAATGACTTTAGAGGACAGTTGGGAGTTTTTCACTTGCAAACAGGAAGCTGCAAAGCTAGCCTGTGGATAGGAAAAGTAAAACTTTATTTGAACTAGACTAGCAATTAAAAAATTAAACCTAACTAATCTGAAGACAAGGATATTCAGCCAAAGCTACTTGAGTAATGGCAACTCAATCCCAAAAACTATCCTTCCATGGACATGCAGCTCCTGTTATAGGCAACTGTAAGTTACTGTTAGTTGTAGGCAAAAATCAAGTCACATACCTGGAATAGATGAGGGGGATGTAAATTCTCTAAAGCAGATTGCCCCTTTAAACAAGGTTGCCTTGTGAACCCAGTGTTACACTTCATCTTGAATGAATTCCTAGATTAACCTAAATCATTTATAGTTGGAAGACAGAACAGACTCAATAGCGTACAATTTCTATAGTTATGTTTTCTAATGCACAATGCAATTTCATTTTTTACAGGGTGAAAAAGGGTGGCTGAGAATTGTGACAACTGCATATAAAGGTGGAAGAGGAGCACAGTACAATCTTGCTATTGAAGAGGACTGTGCATATGGAGATGCTGTACTTCCTTGATTCTATATTGTACCTCTTTCTGTTTAGGAACCACTTTGGAAGCTTCCCAGCAAGACCTTATTCTATTTAACGAATAGTAGTCTAAAACTCTTTACACAGTTCAAAATCATCAGGCAGTTCTGCAAAATTAGCCCAGAGAGCAACACACAATGTCTTAGAAGTAAAATAAATACAGACCTGCCTTTAGATAATTATTTACAACTTAATTTACCCATGAAAAAGCTGCCTGCCTTGATGCACAGTATTTAAATCATATTGACTTAATCACAGAAGCTGTGTATGTAAATACCTGTATATTTAAATATAAATTATGTAGACATACTAGGAAGGAAAAAGTATACTCAATATTTGGGTCTAGATCTTATATTAAATTCTCTGGCAGTATTAAGCAAATATCATCTCACAGTGATGCAGATGAAAAAAAAAAAAGCTAACTCTAGACATGATATACTCAAAAAACTAAATCCTGTGTTGTTTCCTTGGCCTCCTTGTGAAACGGTGTTGGAAATCTCATATAATGCAGTTGCTTTTATCTAACCAAAATGATATAACAGGAATTACTTTGATCAAAAGACAAAGTCTAAACACTTATTTAGTCTTGTCTGCTCAAATTCCTTGCTTTAATAGGTGACTGGCTGTGCCATTTTTTCCTAAAGAGACAAAGTATAAATTGCCACAACCCAGAACCCTTTACTAATTTGAAGGAAGGTAGCAAATTCTCTTCCTTAAAACTAAGCCAGTTACTAAGTGACAAATCAGTGCCATATCAAATGTTACTAACTGTCACTGTTAATTGAATTTAATAAACAGACTTTTTCTCTTACATAACTCTAGCTGTATAAGAGATTAATACATGTTCTGTTGTTGTACTTAACATGCATTCATGGTAGACTAGCTACTCAAAGCTTACCCAACTTTTACAGGACTTTACCTTGTGAAAGGGCTGGTTGACAACACAGTCTATACAGCAACTATGCTAGTTCAAACAACAATTTAGGTTAAATTACATCACCTTTACCCACACTGGAGATTAACATACAAGCTACAAGGAAGCATCAAACTTCAACAAGCAAGGGAGAGAAGAGACATTTAGATGTTGTAGAAAACTACTTCTAAATGTCAAATCACCAAAACCTACCATAAACCAAACTGTGAATTACACCTTGCTCAAACCTGTAAGTTAAAGCTTTTTAGTGGTAGAGAGGAAGAAAAAGTGTCCAGAAACTGCTTCTTATCTACTATCTCCCAGTTGATAGTTTCTGCAATTTATCTTGGTTTTATCTGTGAAAGAAGGGAGTCTGCTCCTAATCAGAAAATATGTTTGGCAGAACAGTGAAGAATCAGAAAAGGCAAGACTGCTAGTGTCTAGGATGACATGGAGGCGATTGTGCTATTCTAATCATTTAGTTTTTCAAAGAGCACAGCTTTTAGCATTGTGACAACGAGAACATGTTTTAGACCTGAGGTTAGGCTAGGAGACTTCAAAGACTGACATTTCTGGTTGATGTGGGCCTAATCTTGGTTTCCTACATACAAGATTCATATGCTAATCATTAGGTGTTTACCTCTCATCCACTATTCACCTCTTAAGACAATAATACACTATTTAAATCTAGGCAAGAGACAGAATCCCATCTGTTTGCTTGGCTTTGCTTTACTGTAGCAAAATGACTCCATAGTACCAATAAGGATTAATTCTGCCTAGCTGCACTGCCTGCTGTAACGTAAGTTCCATTGAGATACGGGTGGTATGACAGAACTAATCACAGCATCATGGAAGTTTTAACTAGCTAAAAGTCACCTACATGGACAAGTGCAGAGGAGCTCAAGTGTTTAGAGGAAGTGATGCCAAGGTTGAACACAGAGGAAAGAAAAAGTAGGCCTTGTTTAGACAGCTGGCAGGTTTGCAGTAGACACAGGAACAAACTGCTCTTATTACTAAAAGATGATACAGGGATATATCCTAAAATGAAGCTCTATCAGGTAGATCAGTAGTTAATTCCAACAAAGGAAGTCAGGGGCTAAAAAAAAAAAAAAAAAGCAAATGTATGCTAATTCTACTTAAAATATTAAAAAAAATAAGTGTCATGCAAATTTAAATGTGACAGTTGAAATGATTGAATAGAAGATGTTCAAAGATAGAGAAGTTTAAAACAGTTGCTGCAGAAGCAAGTTTTGCCCTTTTTTAGGCTGCGCTTTAAGTGGGTTCAAGCACTGTAAGCATTATTAGGGTAAACTCAGTCACTGTGGACTATGTATGCGGAGGAAAGGGAAGATGCACTCCTTTTTACAAGGAGTTGATCTATCCAATTGGCTGCTGTCTCAAGAATTACCATAACTTAGAGTCACTGACAGAAAAAACAAGAAGATTTCCTTTTTAAATTTACATCCAGTTGGACTTAAAACACCAGCAGTTTCTTCAGAAAAGACGTGCTTGGAAATGCACAATGGACATCTATACCCCTCACTTTTAAACAAACTGCATTTGCCCGTACAAAGAGAAATCCAACGCCCAATGGACAGAAAGAAAGTGTGGTCTTAATGAAAGGGAAAGAAATCTCTGGAAAAGAAAAACACCTTTATTTAAAGGTAAATTATAATCTTGGGTGTATCTCCCACTGTTTGGCATCAATCAGGACAGAGTAGAGGTAAGTATAAAAACCAAGCCACAACAAGCAGTAATGAAATTTCTGCACACATATTGTAGTTTTGGACAGCAGTAGAATTCTGACATGGTAATGAAACTTACCAGTAACACCTGATGCGTCTATTTAACAAAAAAATAGATTCTGAAAGAACACACTCACAGAGGATTCATCTGTTAATACAAAACTAACCTTGATTGTTACAACTCCACTTGTGTTACACAAAACTTTTTTTTCCATAGCAGTAAATATGTAGGATATTTAGAATTCTAATGTAACGCAAAGGTGAGAAAGAGGCAGTGTGGCTTCTCTGCAGCACAGAGCTAATCACACAAATTCCTTTTTTACAACTCACAACATCAAAACCTAGAGCATTCAAGATCTAGTCTTCAAAGAACTATGCAGTGTTTCTAGTAGGAACTACCTTCCCCATTCTTCAGGTTTTGTATATTACACAAAGAATCAGTGACAAATTCTGCAAGTAGCCAAAGTAACATTCTTTGAAATAAATGTTTCTCTCTTCCTATTGCCTTCAGAATATTCAGATCTATACTGACTTGTTAAACAACAGAACATCCTTTAGTTATTCCATTTTCCAAAGTACATTAACAGTCCTCCAAAATGATGCTCAAGGTCACCATGCAAGTCAATCAAATGCCCTTCAGCCCTTTCTTCCTTGTTTCAGGTTTGGGGTTATTTGTCTTTTTTTTTTCTTTTTCCCCTGCTGTTGGAGGAGAGTATGGCAAAGTAGTGATCACGTGCTCTGTATTCTTGGTATTTTCCACTGCTTAGTTCATCATAATAAAGTTAGATTTGCAATGAGCTTAAAAGAAAAAGAAGAAAAAAAAAAAAAAAAAAAGGGAAATGTTCAGTACGTTACTTATTTACCTGTTTGCATGTGGATTTCTGCATTATGATTAGGATTTTGGGTCTGGACAGATGTTTGTTTTACGATAGGAGTATATTACAACAGACTAACTCCCTTCCTATCCTTACTACAGTGCTAGTTCTCAAAAAGCGGTTTTTGTCTCCAAGTTCCTCACTACTACCCAGAGATACTTGATTAAAGAAAAATTGCTAAACACAGGTCCCTAAAAGGGAAGTTACCTGAAAATATCTGGCAGACATTCCTATTTTTAGCAATCCTCCTTCTAAACACTGCAAGTTGTAACAAACGGAAGCAGGCATGCAAGGAATAAATGTGTCTTACCTATAAACTCAGTGACAGGATCATGCTCGCCCTCTGTTTTAATAGTACCTGCAATACTTTCATTCTCCAAGATTGGAAGAAAAAGGTGCACAAAGTCTGAAGTATACGGAGGAGCAATCACATCAAGCACCTGAAACAGCAGACAAAAAAAAAATGGATTATTCTTCCAGTTAGAGGAGTAGTAGGGTGAATTACATATTGTCAATACTACTCTTGAAAGTATACAATTAGTTTTACTTAAGATCTCTTGTTCTCCATACAAGCAATTAATTATGTATTCTTGTGGTATTTTATCTAGTACCTTAATACTTTCAGAAGTCAGGAGGATTAAGTCACATCCTTGTGAATACTGATACTACATACATTGCTCAGAATATGATCTCATATCTCAAAATATTTTTGAATCTGAGGCAAGCTAATTTAATATCCAAACACATACAACTAATACTGAAGTTTATATGTTAGTAAACACAATTTTTGCTGCTGACCTCTGTAACAAAGTATCTGATGAGAGAGATATCTGTATCTAGCTTCTCCAGGCATTTGCGGATATAGCTGACAACAGGTAGGACATATCCTCGACTGAGTAAGTGCACCATTCTATCCAAGAGAGTCTTCTTCAATTCCAGCTGATGATGCAGGGAGGTAAGAACCAACAGATTAGACCTTTCTCTCAAGAGCGTGCAATTTTTGTTGTTCATTATTATTGATGCAATATCTGCTATGTTAAGTTTCAACCATGACCATATTCTTAAATTAGAACTCTCAAAACTGCTGCAACAGCAAACGCTATTGTCTTGAATAAGCGTAACTCATGATGAAGGAACACAAATACTGAATCATCTGAGAATCACCTGCTCCATTACATCAAGCTGTGAATGTTCTGTTTCAAAGAGCTTGACAAGAAGTTGTAGAACTTGGGGATGAAGCAGCTGATGGCATGTACTGATCTGCAAACAAGACAGGATAGATCCTCAGAACTTCAATTTAAAAACCAGTGCACCAGTCTTTATTAGACAAATTTACACTGATGTTCAGTGCCAGATGTAAATTATTTTTTAAAAGTAGTGCACCATTTCTTTCTTTGATTCTTAGGTTTTCCTAGCGTAAATAATGCTGAACTGACAAAACCAAGTAATTAACTCTGAATAGAAAGAGATTAATTTCTGCATATTTACCAACTTATTGCAAATGACAGGCATTCAGTGAATTGGATGTACTTCTAGTTACATGTGCCAAAACTGTTCTTAATCTTCAGCAAGGTTTTATATACACTTTTACCTCATCCAATAATGCCAGATGAACTGGAGTGTGATCTGTCTGCAGCTGGAAGTATCGTGGTTCTGACACTGTCCAATCCACCCACTTTAATACACCCATAGCCACCACTGGGAACCTATAGAAGGAAAAAAAAAAAAAAAAAAAAAAAAAAAAATCACTTTAGCACAGTAGTATAAAAAAGACCCCACAAAAACAACCACTCAAAAACCCCCAAGACAAAATAAAAAGCTCTTAGTAAATTCAAAAAATAAAAAGATCTTTCAGTATATTCTATATGGTTGTTGGAGTTTCAGTTTAATTTACAGAAGAATTCATAAAGTTCAAAAAGTTCTGCTTGAAAAGTTGCTGTCACATCAAGAGTAGTTTTCATCAAGAAGGGGAAATAAAAAAAAAGAAGGCTGGAGGAAAATTCTTTCTACAAAGACAATCCCTGCTTAGCACAAACTGCAAAAAATATGCAACAAAATTACTTTCCTTCTGTCTCTCTGCTCACCTGATGCACTGATAGAGTGTGCTCAGTTCTGCAACCAACTCCGAAGCTCCTTTGTTCTCATTGCAACACAGATTGTGAACAGTTTCAATGGCTTTTGAAGTCGACTTGAGTTCATCTTTGTTTATGCTGACTCTCTTGTTCTGAAAAATTGCGAAGTTTGAGTGTATGAGTTGTGAGTATATCAGATACCTTTGGTTAT